ATCTAAAACCTTCGGGCAAAGAGTATTTTTAGATCCCAGAGAAACATTTATTCCCCTAAATCTTTCTAAAAGTTAATTTTTGGTGTGCCTATATTGTATTCTCACGAATTTGACCATTTTCGTTTATTAAAACACGAAAGCAACGACATCGATCTTCGGTCAATCACTATACAGTATTATAACATTGAGATCATTTCTCCTTGCATTTTCATAGATGCGAAACAACAAATGTTTCATGAAAAAAAAATGACAAAGATGAAGACATCCGCATATATGAACCTATCCCATATGCGATACCATTTTAGGTACAGTGCAATTATTAAAAAAAATCCGAAACATTTTTCGCAGTGCCGATCATAATACTCGTCAATTATTAAAGTAGATTATCAACTTTGAAATGAAGAAGTACAACAGAAGGTTTCGCTGAAAATGTTAACTTTTTTTATAATTAATTTCAGAATAACGAAATAATATTCGTGCGGGCCAGCATTCAAATCACCGATACGATAGCGGTCGGCGTTCGGCCACGATATTCAAATTATCATCGTAACGATACTCGGTACTCTGTTAAAATACGACAGAAGAACATATTATTGTTTTGTTAATTGGCATACCTCTCTTTGGTAACGAAACTCCTCCAAATGCCTTTCAATATGGTTCGCAAACGTCAAAGGCACTCGCGTCTTCTCCGTTACCCATAATTCACTTCCTGAAACCGTCGAATTCACGCGCGCAGACCGTCAACTACACAACGAAAAACGAAATGAGCCGTAGACCGCGATTTTTCAATGCGTATCCACATGTGCCGACCAGCTCGAAAATCAGCGAATTATTTCTGTCGCTTTTTAATATGGCGCACCTTTGAAAGAGCCTTGCCTACTGGAGAGTGAGAACCCAACCGCCATCTTGGTGAACGCATGCGCTGTCCTCGAGAAAAGTCGAGGACGAAAGCTGCACATGCGCGATAGTCACCTCCTCGTGGACCACTCTCTGACTTTAGATGAGCTCTGTGACGTCAAAATTGGGCCAGCTGTTGCGATGGGTTAGAACAACGCTTCACGCAACAAACGAAGTAGTACTTTCCATAATTCACTAATAATAAATCTACATACATATATGTGTAAAAACCCTTACTAAAGTTGCCGCTTGTTTCAACTCAAATGTATAATCTATAAAAATATGAACAGAATTACATACTGAAGTTTCTGTTTGTTATAAAATACTCTCAGAACATTTCGGAATTGACTTAAAAATGTTAAATAAATTAACTAAGAATTATAGCATATTCCTAAACCTTAATATTAACTTACTATTTATTTGTTTAATGCATGGATTCTATAAAACAACCACTTGATATTTACATTTTCATTTTATTGATAAATGGGAAAAGGTAATTATGCGACAAGAGCACTAGCAGTAGAACTCTCATATTTCCAATTTGCAGGTAGGGTTCCCTTCGATTTGTAATAACGGGCAAGCCGATGAATTCTCGACTCAACAAGAATTAGTCTAAATTTACTGTCTTTATCTTTGCGGTTTCTTTCTAAATGCTTCCTGATGGCTACTGCTTTCTTGATCAAATAATAAAGATCTTCTGGTAAATCTGGAGCAAGTCCCATGCTCTTCACAATCCTCAAAATCTTGTTTCCAGTTCGGAAACGCACCTGAGCAACTCCATGAGAATCTCGAAGAATTACACCTGTATACAATAGCTGATTATTTTTCAATTGCTATTTACATACAGAGATAATTTAATATCAATATTTCATGCAGAAATCTTATTTTTAATAATGTACGAATAAAATACAATTAAAGATCTTTTAAATGTTAGCGATTACCTACAATGAAATGATAAATATATCATAATTCACATCAAAATGACACCACTTTAATATTATGAGGCAGTGATAATACACTGAACCTTAATTAGTTTGCTTACTTCTACGGGTATAATGTTCACTAAATTACATTATATACAACAGAACCACTTATAAATTAATTATTTGTACATTCTGAGCTAGATGAAAGATAAAAAAGATTTACCAATTTGAGATGGCGTGTGACCCTTCTTTGCTAGTTTATAAATCAATTCTTTGCAATCTTCTGGCGTCAACTTTAACCATGTTGGCACACTGCGTCTGTATGGCAACGCTGACTGGGATATACCCTTTCTAAAATATAAAAAGTTTTCATTGTAAGAAGTTTCAATACCACCATCAATAGTATGTATTTTTCATAATACTGAATCTTGAAAAATAATAAGTAGGAAATTTCATCTGAACTTTCATTTTAGTAGTAATTGTGGTATTATAAAAGTGATATTGAACAACCACTAGATACATAAATTATTTGCTTTTTAAAATATTGCAACTATGAACATGAATGTCGGTAGTTAAAAATATTAAGGTTATGTTCAGACAAGAGTAAAACATATATCAAACATCTCAAAGATACAAATTTTTACACTCTTGAATTGAAATATACGTATTAATGTTTATTTAAATATGTTACAATATATACAAATGGACACGTGAACTCTATTTATTGTTAATTTAAGGAAGGAATAATGCGAAGCTACATCCCCCTTTTTGCATACAAGAAATTAATAAATTTATATTATAACAGTGAAAAAAAATTAAACAATAACGAAGTAATGTTTCCTCAAGCGTAGTAATAATCAATTTAAAAAATATTTAATTTAGTTTACCCTGGTGCGTGCATACGACCCATCTTTGCATGCTTTTATGAGACAAGAGACAGTGGCGCCGTTTGAGTTCAGTTAGCAAGTCATAGAATTATGTGTTGTATATGTAGTCATGCCTCACCTTAGTCGCGAAGCGGGGACAACCAGCTTAATAGCATGAAGCAAGTAGAGAAATCTGATTGGTTGATGCTTCACAGCTTGACAGTGCTGCCCTCGCAGTTCTAGGCAAAGAAAGGAAGTGGCAAGTGAGCAAGAGAGTACGATACCAGCACAACAGCAAGCAAAACAAGTCACACCGACGACCAATGTAACTTGTCACACTTTACCGTTCTTGCGTCCTCACTCTTTTCGCGCACTCATATGCCTAGTGGTCCATCTAAAACACGTGGCACGATATTCGACTTGCACTTCTCGTCCCATAGGATTTTCTACCACACAGTCCAGCGTCTTTACGAACGTCTTAAAACGACGATCATTTCTACAATTATTAAAATTTTCGAAAACTCGTAAGCTACATTTTAGTTAATGGTTTCTACTTTCTGAAACAACAAATTTTTTTTTAATTCAGCCTTCCCGGCCAACAGTTAATATTATACTCTACGAAAAAAAATTTCGTAGCAACAGATAATTTCGTATTTATCGAAGCTATGAACGAAACTAGGAATATAATGAAATGTTTGTAGATCTGAATAAAATAGAAAATGGTATTTTGTTATCGCATCGACATTATTACTTCTGGAGTAAATGAGGCTAGAATGAATTTGAGACCCTGAAAAGGGCCGTTATTAATAAATAGTGATGTCTGTGGAAGACAGGAGGTTGTTATTGCTTCTATGATTCGATCGCAGCCCGTAATTCTGGAGTTTGAACCTCGCGCTACCTTCATCCTGCGCAGAACGTTACTGCGTCTTTAGTGGCCCGTACTACCCCACTCGTGTTGAACCTTGCGATGACGGCGGAGCAACTCGGCTGAGAAGGCTCTCACCACCACCCCATCCTGCGTAGAACATTACTGCGTCTTTAGTGGTCCATACCCCGGTCGTGTTGAACCTTGCGATGACGGCGGAGCAACTCAGTTGAGAAGGCTTCTACAATCACCCCCATACTGCACATTTCGTGACCCATGCTCTTGCTATCTTACACCTTTGCGACGATTTAGAAAATTCATTGTCAAGATGTTACAACTTTTGAACCATTAGAGATATTAAAATGAAATTTTCACTATAAATAATTAAAATATTAACGTCAGGCACGATTTTTGATTTCCTGCAGCCGCTATGAAATTCTTGTAAAGTTTCACTCCCTGATCAAGTATCCGAAAATCGAATTGCTCTATCTTCCTTAGTTTTCGAAAAAAACGAGCTTATGTAAAAACTTAGAATTTTCGACAAAAATGAGGTATTGCATGAAAAATAAAAACATTAGAAAGTTCTAGTGTGATCCGTCTTAAAAGATAGAGGAGAGTTTTCCGAATGTAGTGGTATACAATTTATTAATTGTTTTTAGTCCCAATGTTAATGTTTAAAAAAGAGTCGACGCAATATTTTTGTATTTTTATGAAAAGTTCTTTATCCAGCACGATAACTCTACGCATAATCGGATTCTGTAGACATTTCTGAAGAAGAAACGACCTAATAGAAGTATCGATACGATTTATATTTCGAATAGGCAAAGAAAATGTTGTACACAATGCACGACATTTTCTGCCATGTGCTCCGCAGCTCACTTCTCTAAGGTAGACAGGGCCAAAGCTATGCGTAATCAACATCGATGGAGGAATCTAACGGAGCACCCACTTTGTGTAAATAAAATTTGAATTTTTTTAGTACTTCAGTGTTCTGTCTTCTTTCATACATTTCCCTGGATACTAATCACCAAACTATGATATATTTTGTGACGAGAAGTCGTAAAGTATAAAAAGTTATTTACATAATTAAAAAGATATAAAAAAATATCGAATTCTCACGGCACATAAGGATTCGAATGCCTTATAAATGTATCATAGTTAGGTGATTAGTATTCAGAGAAATATATGAAAAAAGATAAAACACTGAAGTTCTAAAAAAAATTCAAATATTATTTGCATAAAGTGGATCCCCATTGGATCCCTCTCGTTGATTACGCATAGCTCGGCCCTGTCTGCCATAGAAAAGCGAGCAGCGAAGCACGTGGCGGTAAATAAAAATGAAAATCATTCTGACACTTTCACTTCTTCTTCAGAAATGTCAATAGAATTCGATTTATTCGAACAAACTATTTCATCTACTTATTCGAATCAGCTATTTTATTTATTTATTCGAACAAACTGTTTCGTTTATTTATTCGGAATATTAAAAACAAAACAAATTCAAAAAGCATTTACGCAAATAAAGTATTTTAAGCCTTTATGTTTTCTTATCCAACTGTAAAGAATTATCATTTATTTTACACAAGTAAGTCCTGAATCTCCTTTTTTGAGGGTTACCGGTCGAACGGTGAGAAAATAACACAACGTCGTGAACGGCATCGACAGCCAAAATGTCAGCAATTTCTCAAAACTAAGCGTATCCTCTGTCAACATTTGTGAATCTCCATCAAAGTCAACATCGAATCAGCCAATAATTGAATAATTTACAATGTATAATCGATATTGGATCCACTTAATGCAGTGCTAAATCGAAATCTTCGGACATTTTCTCGGTTCTCCCTCGACACACTGCACGAACCTTAAATAATATTCTCCCAACTTATTTATTAGGGGAAAGCAGTGACACTACCGAATGGCAATCAGACTGGAGCAGTTCCTTCTATCAAGCGTAAAGTTCTTGGAAAACCAAGATCTAAAAAACCTCTAAAAATTCTGTCAGATGTAGATACTGATACTAGCGAAGAAAGAAAAATGTTCTATATATTTACTTCCCTTTAGAAGGCATCAGTTAGGCACACCTTCTTCCTGTGAACATTATTTCTATTTAGAACGTCTAATCGAGCAAAAATGTAAACACTTGACCAGTAGATCGTCAAACGTTTACAACAATCACTGTTAGAAATGAGCTTGCAGGACAGGTATCTTTTTAAAAATTAATATCCCATTTAATAATAGTGCAACGTAAGTAAACTTGACTTTATTTTTGTTATAGGTTATTAGACAAGTTCCGGAAGAAGTTGCCCCTCGTGTTGAAGATGAACTTTTAGAAGATCCTACATTTTGCAACCAAAATACAATAGGGAAGATCGTATGCTTCTTTGCGATGGTTGTGACTGTAATAATCATCTAATAAACCTTAATATTAACTTACTATTTATTTGTTTAATGCATGGATTCTATAAAACAACCACCTGATATTTACATTTTCATTTTATTGAGAAATGGGAAAAGGTAATTATGCGACAAGAGCACTAGCAGTAGAACTCTCATATTTCCAATTTGCAGGTAGGGTTCCCTTCGATTTGTAATAACGGGCAAGCCGATGAATTCTCGACTCAACAAGAATTAGTCTAAATTTACTGTCTTTATCTTTGCGGTTTCTTTCTAAATGCTTCCTGATGGCTACTGCTTTCTTGATCAAATAATAAAGATCTTCTGGTAAATCTGGAGCAAGTCCCATGCTCTTCACAATCCTCAAAATCTTGTTTCCAGTTCGGAAACGCACCTGAGCAACTCCATGAGAATCTCGAAGAATTACACCTGTATACAATAGCTGATTATTTTTCAATTGCTATTTACATACAGAGATAATTTAATATCAATATTTCATGCAGAAATCTTATTTTTAATAATGTACGAATAAAATACAATTAAAGATCTTTTAAATGTTAGCGATTACCTACAATGAAATGATAAATATATCATAATTCACATCAAAATGACACCACTTTAATATTATGAGGCAGTGATAATACACTGAACCTTAATTAGTTTGCTTACTTCTACGGGTATAATGTTCACTAAATTACATTATATACAACAGAACCACTTATAAATTAATTATTTGTACATTCTGAGCTAGATGAAAGATAAAAAAGATTTACCAATTTGAGATGGCGTGTGACCCTTCTTTGCTAGTTTATAAATCAATTCTTTGCAATCTTCTGGCGTCAACTTTAACCATGTTGGCACACTGCGTCTGTATGGCAACGCTGACTGGGATATACCCTTTCTAAAATATAAAAAGTTTTCATTGTAAGAAGTTTCAATACCACCATCAATAGTATGTATTTTTCATAATACTGAATCTTGAAAAATAATAAGTAGGAAATTTCATCTGAACTTTCATTTTAGTAGTAATTGTGGTATTATAAAAGTGATATTGAACAACCACTAGATACATAAATTATTTGCTTTTTAAAATATTGCAACTATGAACATGAATGTCGGTAGTTAAAAATATTAAGGTTATGTTCAGACAAGAGTAAAACATATATCAAACATCTCAAAGATACAAATTTTTACACTCTTGAATTGAAATATACGTATTAATGTTTATTTAAATATGTTACAATATATACAAATGGACACGTGAACTCTATTTATTGTTAATTTAAGGAAGGAATAATGCGAAGCTACATCCCCCTTTTTGCATACAAGAAATTAATAAATTTATATTATAACAGTGAAAAAAAATTAAACAATAACGAAGTAATGTTTCCTCAAGCGTAGTAATAATCAATTTAAAAAATATTTAATTTAGTTTACCCTGGTGCGTGCATACGACCCATCTTTGCATGCTTTTATGAGACAAGAGACAGTGGCGCCGTTTGAGTTCAGTTAGCAAGTCATAGAATTATGTGTTGTATATGTAGTCATGCCTCACCTTAGTCGCGAAGCGGGGACAACCAGCTTAATAGCATGAAGCAAGTAGAGAAATCTGATTGGTTGATGCTTCACAGCTTGACAGTGCTGCCCTCGCAGTTCTAGGCAAAGAAAGGAAGTGGCAAGTGAGCAAGAGAGTACGATACCAGCACAACAGCAAGCAAAACAAGTCACACCGACGACCAATGTAACTTGTCACACTTTACCGTTCTTGCGTCCTCACTCTTTTCGCGCACTCATATGCCTAGTGGTCCATCTAAAACACGTGGCACGATATTCGACTTGCACTTCTCGTCCCATAGGATTTTCTACCACACAGTCCAGCGTCTTTACGAACGTCTTAAAACGACGATCATTTCTACAATTATTAAAATTTTCGAAAACTCGTAAGCTACATTTTAGTTAATGGTTTCTACTTTCTGAAACAACAAATTTTTTTTTAATTCAGCCTTCCCGGCCAACAGTTAATATTATACTCTACGAAAAAAAATTTCGTAGCAACAGATAATTTCGTATTTATCGAAGCTATGAACGAAACTAGGAATATAATGAAATGTTTGTAGATCTGAATAAAATAGAAAATGGTATTTTGTTATCGCATCGACATTATTACTTCTGGAGTAAATGAGGCTAGAATGAATTTGAGACCCTGAAAAGGGCCGTTATTAATAAATAGTGATGTCTGTGGAAGACAGGAGGTTGTTATTGCTTCTATGATTCGATCGCAGCCCGTAATTCTGGAGTTTGAACCTCGCGCTACCTTCATCCTGCGCAGAACGTTACTGCGTCTTTAGTGGCCCGTACTACCCCACTCGTGTTGAACCTTGCGATGACGGCGGAGCAACTCGGCTGAGAAGGCTCTCACCACCACCCCATCCTGCGTAGAACATTACTGCGTCTTTAGTGGTCCATACCCCGGTCGTGTTGAACCTTGCGATGACGGCGGAGCAACTCAGTTGAGAAGGCTTCTACAATCACCCCCATACTGCACATTTCGTGACCCATGCTCTTGCTATCTTACACCTTTGCGACGATTTAGAAAATTCATTGTCAAGATGTTACAACTTTTGAACCATTAGAGATATTAAAATGAAATTTTCACTATAAATAATTAAAATATTAACGTCAGGCACGATTTTTGATTTCCTGCAGCCGCTATGAAATTCTTGTAAAGTTTCACTCCCTGATCAAGTATCCGAAAATCGAATTGCTCTATCTTCCTTAGTTTTCGAAAAAAACGAGCTTATGTAAAAACTTAGAATTTTCGACAAAAATGAGGTATTGCATGAAAAATAAAAACATTAGAAAGTTCTAGTGTGATCCGTCTTAAAAGATAGAGGAGAGTTTTCCGAATGTAGTGGTATACAATTTATTAATTGTTTTTAGTCCCAATGTTAATGTTTAAAAAAGAGTCGACGCAATATTTTTGTATTTTTATGAAAAGTTCTTTATCCAGCACGATAACTCTACGCATAATCGGATTCTGTAGACATTTCTGAAGAAGAAACGACCTAATAGAAGTATCGATACGATTTATATTTCGAATAGGCAAAGAAAATGTTGTACACAATGCACGACATTTTCTGCCATGTGCTCCGCAGCTCACTTCTCTAAGGTAGACAGGGCCAAAGCTATGCGTAATCAACATCGATGGAGGAATCTAACGGAGCACCCACTTTGTGTAAATAAAATTTGAATTTTTTTAGTACTTCAGTGTTCTGTCTTCTTTCATACATTTCCCTGGATACTAATCACCAAACTATGATATATTTTGTGACGAGAAGTCGTAAAGTATAAAAAGTTATTTACATAATTAAAAAGATATAAAAAAATATCGAATTCTCACGGCACATAAGGATTCGAATGCCTTATAAATGTATCATAGTTAGGTGATTAGTATTCAGAGAAATATATGAAAAAAGATAAAACACTGAAGTTCTAAAAAAAATTCAAATATTATTTGCATAAAGTGGATCCCCATTGGATCCCTCTCGTTGATTACGCATAGCTCGGCCCTGTCTGCCATAGAAAAGCGAGCAGCGAAGCACGTGGCGGTAAATAAAAATGAAAATCATTCTGACACTTTCACTTCTTCTTCAGAAATGTCAATAGAATTCGATTTATTCGAACAAACTATTTCATCTACTTATTCGAATCAGCTATTTTATTTATTTATTCGAACAAACTGTTTCGTTTATTTATTCGGAATATTAAAAACAAAACAAATTCAAAAAGCATTTACGCAAATAAAGTATTTTAAGCCTTTATGTTTTCTTATCCAACTGTAAAGAATTATCATTTATTTTACACAAGTAAGTCCTGAATCTCCTTTTTTGAGGGTTACCGGTCGAACGGTGAGAAAATAACACAACGTCGTGAACGGCATCGACAGCCAAAATGTCAGCAATTTCTCAAAACTAAGCGTATCCTCTGTCAACATTTGTGAATCTCCATCAAAGTCAACATCGAATCAGCCAATAATTGAATAATTTACAATGTATAATCGATATTGGATCCACTTAATGCAGTGCTAAATCGAAATCTTCGGACATTTTCTCGGTTCTCCCTCGACACACTGCACGAACCTTAAATAATATTCTCCCAACTTATTTATTAGGGGAAAGCAGTGACACTACCGAATGGCAATCAGACTGGAGCAGTTCCTTCTATCAAGCGTAAAGTTCTTGGAAAACCAAGATCTAAAAAACCTCTAAAAATTCTGTCAGATGTAGATACTGATACTAGCGAAGAAAGAAAAATGTTCTATATATTTACTTCCCTTTAGAAGGCATCAGTTAGGCACACCTTCTTCCTGTGAACATTATTTCTATTTAGAACGTCTAATCGAGCAAAAATGTAAACACTTGACCAGTAGATCGTCAAACGTTTACAACAATCACTGTTAGAAATGAGCTTGCAGGACAGGTATCTTTTTAAAAATTAATATCCCATTTAATAATAGTGCAACGTAAGTAAACTTGACTTTATTTTTGTTATAGGTTATTAGACAAGTTCCGGAAGAAGTTGCCCCTCGTGTTGAAGATGAACTTTTAGAAGATCCTACATTTTGCAACCAAAATACAATAGGGAAGATCGTATGCTTCTTTGCGATGGTTGTGACTGTAATAATCATCTAATAAACCTTAATATTAACTTACTATTTATTTGTTTAATGCATGGATTCTATAAAACAACCACCTGATATTTACATTTTCATTTTATTGAGAAATGGGAAAAGGTAATTATGCGACAAGAGCACTAGCAGTAGAACTCTCATATTTCCAATTTGCAGGTAGGGTTCCCTTCGATTTGTAATAACGGGCAAGCCGATGAATTCTCGACTCAACAAGAATTAGTCTAAATTTACTGTCTTTATCTTTGCGGTTTCTTTCTAAATGCTTCCTGATGGCTACTGCTTTCTTGATCAAATAATAAAGATCTTCTGGTAAATCTGGAGCAAGTCCCATGCTCTTCACAATCCTCAAAATCTTGTTTCCAGTTCGGAAACGCACCTGAGCAACTCCATGAGAATCTCGAAGAATTACACCTGTATACAATAGCTGATTATTTTTCAATTGCTATTTACATACAGAGATAATTTAATATCAATATTTCATGCAGAAATCTTATTTTTAATAATGTACGAATAAAATACAATTAAAGATCTTTTAAATGTTAGCGATTACCTACAATGAAATGATAAATATATCATAATTCACATCAAAATGACACCACTTTAATATTATGAGGCAGTGATAATACACTGAACCTTAATTAGTTTGCTTACTTCTACGGGTATAATGTTCACTAAATTACATTATATACAACAGAACCACTTATAAATTAATTATTTGTACATTCTGAGCTAGATGAAAGATAAAAAAGATTTACCAATTTGAGATGGCGTGTGACCCTTCTTTGCTAGTTTATAAATCAATTCTTTGCAATCTTCTGGCGTCAACTTTAACCATGTTGGCACACTGCGTCTGTATGGCAACGCTGACTGGGATATACCCTTTCTAAAATATAAAAAGTTTTCATTGTAAGAAGTTTCAATACCACCATCAATAGTATGTATTTTTCATAATACTGAATCTTGAAAAATAATAAGTAGGAAATTTCATCTGAACTTTCATTTTAGTAGTAATTGTGGTATTATAAAAGTGATATTGAACAACCACTAGATACATAAATTATTTGCTTTTTAAAATATTGCAACTATGAACATGAATGTCGGTAGTTAAAAATATTAAGGTTATGTTCAGACAAGAGTAAAACATATATCAAACATCTCAAAGATACAAATTTTTACACTCTTGAATTGAAATATACGTATTAATGTTTATTTAAATATGTTACAATATATACAAATGGACACGTGAACTCTATTTATTGTTAATTTAAGGAAGGAATAATGCGAAGCTACATCCCCCTTTTTGCATACAAGAAATTAATAAATTTATATTATAACAGTGAAANTACTTCTACGGGTATAATGTTCACTAAATTACATTATATACAACAGAACCACTTATAAATTAATTATTTGTACATTCTGAGCTAGATGAAAGATAAAAAAGATTTACCAATTTGAGATGGCGTGTGACCCTTCTTTGCTAGTTTATAAATCAATTCTTTGCAATCTTCTGGCGTCAACTTTAACCATGTTGGCACACTGCGTCTGTATGGCAACGCTGACTGGGATATACCCTTTCTAAAATATAAAAAGTTTTCATTGTAAGAAGTTTCAATACCACCATCAATAGTATGTATTTTTCATAATACTGAATCTTGAAAAATAATAAGTAGGAAATTTCATCTGAACTTTCATTTTAGTAGTAATTGTGGTATTATAAAAGTGATATTGAACAACCACTAGATACATAAATTATTTGCTTTTTAAAATATTGCAACTATGAACATGAATGTCGGTAGTTAAAAATATTAAGGTTATGTTCAGACAAGAGTAAAACATATATCAAACATCTCAAAGATACAAATTTTTACACTCTTGAATTGAAATATACGTATTAATGTTTATTTAAATATGTTACAACATATACAAATGGACACGTGAACTCTATTTATTGTTAATTTAAGAAGGGAATAATGCGAAGCTACGTCTCCCTTTTTGCATACAAGAAATTAATAATTTTATATTATAACAATGAAAAAAATTAAAACAATAACGAAATAATGTTTCCTCAAGCGTAGTAATAATCAATTTAAAAAATATTTAATTTAGTTTACCCTGGTGCGTGCATACGACCCATCTTTGCGTGCTTCTATCGGACAAGAGATAGTAGCGCCGTTTGAGTTCAGTCAGCAATTCATAGAATTATGTGTTGCATATAAATTCAAAACCTGCGCGGGAATATTGAAAACAAAACAAATTCGAAAAGCATTTATGTAAAGAAAATATTTTAAGCGTTTATGTTTTCTTATCGACCAGTATAAGTTAGTTTTAATTAACTTAATATATATTAAATATCAATTTGGTATATGTACACAATTTATGTACACAATCTGCTAATCATGTATTGCACTAAAGATAAATAAATTTTGAAATTTTAAATATTATTCTAACTATTACTAATAACAGTATAAGCGGTGAGAAAGAAAATGTTATGTGTTCTAAACAGAGAATGTTGGTCAAAAGTATTATGTTAAGGGAAGCTTTACTTCTTTATATTGTGTTTACTGGCTTAAGTTAAATTCGGTGTTTTATAGAACTTCCGGCGGTTGTTCACCACAAAAATCAAGTCAATATCTATCAAATTTTCAGTTTATAAGTCCCATAAGTTATAAAAGAACTCGGTACGAGTGTGAAAATTTGTTCTGCAAAGAATTATCATTTATTTTACGTAGGTAAGCCATGAATTTCCTTTTTTGGGGGTTATTGGTAGAACGGTGAGAAAATAGCGCAACGTCGCGAACGGCGTCGGCAGCCAAAATGTCGGCAGTTTCTCAAAACTAAGCGTATCCTCTGTCAACATTTGTGAATCTCCATCGAAGTCAACATCGAATCAGTCAATAATTGAATCATTGATAATGTATGATCGATATTGGATCCCCTTAATACAGTGTTAAATCGGAATCTTCGGAATTTCGAAGGTAAATTCACATTTTCTAGGTTCACCCTCGACACTGCTCGATCCTTGTCCTTTTCTCTGTGTGTAATTTCATCGAATATGTGGAAAATTTTTTATAACAATTTTCCGACCGATACTAAACAATCGATTATTTCAATGAAACATTAGTAATTTGCATTAGAAGGTGTAATTTTTTATTCTGCGATATTTTTTTGAAGAAATGAAATTAGTGGTGTGTTAATGTGGTTATATACAGTGACTCACAAAGTATTTCACTAAGTTTTGAGTGTGTAATTTAATTGAATTTCAAGAGATTTTTATGATTATATTGATCAAAGCATGAGTCAAACTAATAACTTCAAATTTATTTGAGTGTATTGTGATTTAAATTACACTTAAGTGTAATTAGTTAGATGTATAATAATTTTCTAAATTTTTTGTATTAATATTGAAATTTAGATCACTCATACTGTTATTGTTTTAGATATTTGTTTACTTTTGGTTTGCTATCCAAATGTTGATATTACATTAATTTAAATTTAAATTTCTTCATTTAATATATTTTTTCCTAAGCTCTTCATAGCTTTCAAAAAAGTTTAAGTACGATTTAATTAGGGTACCTTTTAAGTTTCTTTGTTGTGTATAATAAAACTCTTCTAAAATGGTTATTAATTATTTAATGATGTACTTTACATATTTTGTTTTATATATTGATTTATGAACAGAATAATAAATCAAAAAGAAAAATCATAACTTTGTTAAAAATGAATGATACAAAGATCTCATTAATAAGATTTTGTTTTTTCAATTACAAATAGGACATGTGACAAGACGGGTATGATTTTGTAGCAAAGTTAAAATGTCTAGCGATAACAATCAAATACCCAAATCCGTTAAGCGGAAGAAATTTGTCATACCTGATAGTGAAGATAGTGATGAATCTATTGTGCAATCTCGTAGGAAGAAGAAAACTCATGTATGTACTATATTTGTTAATATTCATGATAAAATAGTATTTGTAGTACTATTAATTTTAACTATAATAAAATTCTATATGCTTTTAGAGAGTCATAAGTGAAGGTGAATCTAGTGATGAAGACAGTGATATTCAAAGACCAACTGTAAGAAGACAAAATCAAGTAAGCTACATTAGTGGCTAACACAAGAATTATAAATCATGATATGTGTAAAATATCATAGTATTTATCTATTTTAAATTTTCAGAGAGTTATTACTGAAGATGATACTAGTTGTGGCAGCAGCAGTTCAGGTTCAAATAATTATAACGAATTAGGTAAGTGCTGAAAACTTATATAATTAAGTATATAATGTAATTTTAAATAATATTCTCCCAACTTATTCATTAGGGGAAAGCAGTGACAGTACCGAATGGCAATCAGACTGGAGCAGTTCGTCAGAATCTGAAAAAAAATCTTCTATCAAGCGAAAAGTTCTTGGAAAACCAAGATTTAAAAAACCTCCTAAAATTCTGTCAGATGTAGATACTGATACCAGCGACGATCAGATAGAAAAATGTCCTATATGTTTACTTCCCTTTAGAAGGCAACAGTTAGGCACACCTTCTTCCTGTGAACATTGTTTCTGTTTAGAATGTCTAATCGAATGGAGCAAAAATGTAAACACTTGTCCAGTAGATCGCCAAACGTTTACAACAATCCATGTTAGAAATGAGCTTGGAGGACAGGTATATTTTTTAGAATTAATATCCCATTTACTAATAGTGCAACGTAAATAAACTTAACTTTATTTTTGTTACAGATTATTAGACAAGTTCCGGTAGAAGTTGCTCCTCGTGTTGAAGATGAACTTTTAGAAGATCCTACATTTTGCGAAGTATGCCACCAAAGCGATAGAGAAGATCGTATGCTTCTTTGCGATGGTTGTGACTGTGGCTATCACCTAGAATGTTTATCTCCTCCAATGAATGAAGTACCTATGGAAGAATGGTTTTGTCCAGAATGTTCACAAAACAGTCAAAATGATGCAGAAGCTGTAAGGCTCCCTTATTTTTTTTTCATTACTTTCTATTTATAATTTTTTCATTATAATTTACAATAATTGAGTTTTCTTATAGTATTCTATGTTCTTCACAACCATATTTCGTATTTATTCTACTAGGTGGAAATTGATTTTGACGAGATTGCTGATTTAATGGAAGAAGCTCGAAGACTTGGCGTTTCTTACGGTCGCGCACGTACTGGCCAATCTCAAGATACTCAACCACGAATTGTACCTCGTACTAGACATACAGAACGTGTTAGAGCTACTATTCGCAGGTACCGATATGCTGAATAAAATAAAATTATAATATGAGTGTTACTATATTTTGTACAAAACGATTCGTTTTTTGTAAGCTTTTGATACGCAATATAAAATCATTTAATATAATTGTGTTAACAGAAGAAATAGAATTTATAACAATTCACAACCAACCCGTCAACTAACGTTTGATCCAAACCAACCTTCCACCTCTTCTGGTTTGGAATCGTACGGAGACAACAGTCGAAGTCGTTCTCCGAGCAATGCCTTTCATACATTGGGCTCCGGAGATCGAAATTGTTCAAATAAAAATTCACGGAAATATCAGAGATCTAGAAGCAGCTCAAGTAATTCTAGTGGCGAAAGTATTTCCCCGAGTTCTCGAAGAAGTACCAATGATAGAAATAATTCCAAAAATTCTGATAGTGGTCATTCAAAGGGCAGTTCTAGAAAAAAAGACAGCACTTTGGGAAGTAATAATAGGAAAAAATCTGGGAGCAGTTCGAAAAAGAGAGGAAGGAGAATCAAGTCAAGAAAGTCTGGAAAACCAAGAAAAGTTTCCAGTAGGGAAACAATATTAAAAGAAGTTAGAATCACCGAACGTAATGAAGACGGAGAAGAAGAAGAGATTGTTACATTTGTCAAAGTAGCTCCAATTGGAGTACGAAGAAAAAAAAAGAAAAGAAGGAAGGTAATACTGCACAATTTTAAACGTATTAATTATTTGAACTAATTAATAGGAAAGCAAATAATAATATTTCGTTTCATAGAGGAGAAGGGTTAGGCGTCAAGCTAGAACTGTATCAAGCGTTTTAACTACTACAAAAAAGAGACTCGCATCTTCTTTAGGTATTTGTAAGCCAGCCAAAGGTGTTCCAGTTTTAATACCTAGTGTTAGAAATCGTACAGTTGTGCCTGAGAGATCTGCACTGAACACTGCCCGATATGAAGCTGGAATTACAAGGGTTAGTCTTTTTGGAGCTGGTCTGGGATTAGATTATAGTCCTCCAGGGTAAATAGAATACTTTATATATCTATTTAATAGAAATTAACGAAAATATAAAAATATTCAAAACCTTTCCTTTTATAGTTCCGATACTGAGGATTATCAAACAACCAATGGTCCTACTATAACTATTCATAGACGTTCTATAATGTCTTCCCGAAGACACCTTAGAGTAAAAAGCATTGCTATTCCTCACCAACCACAACCTGATTTTCTAGACAGCATAATATGTAGTCAGGAAAAGTGGCATTCAAAAAGTAATAATGTCATATTGAAGGCAGATGGTCTTTCATTAGTTGACAAGAAGAACGATTCCAACGATTTAAAGAAAGAAAAAATAGATGATGAAACATCATCTAATATAGAAAAAACAGATCATGTAGTAGAGGATAAGAAAACATCCACCATGGATGGACCATTGGAAGCATCTAAAATTAATTCAGAGTTAATTACGCAGGCTCCAATGTATAATAATCCATGTGGAGGGGGAAATAGAGGCAACTTCAGGGGTGGTTACAGGGATAATACAAGGCATAGTCATGGTGGACAAAATTATGGGAGAGATTCTCTACCTGGAAGTGGAAGACATAGTTATGGTGGAAGTGGTAGCAATTTTGGAAGAGATTTTGGCCCTCCTGCGTTTTACAATCCAAATTTTGAACACTGTGGGCCTCCGATGTTTGGAGGAAGTCCACCATTTAGAAATCGCAATCCTCAACACTTTAGAAATGAGAGGTATTGACTATGATTTTAAATATACATCTTAGTATGTTTCAATTAATTACATTTAAACAATTTGAAATGTATTCCATTAAATTTTCAGATTCCGTTTCATGCCACCAGGGAGGCCACCATTCAATTTTGCAGAAGGATTTGAACACCATGCTTTTCCTGAAAGATTCAATCGTCCTAGATCTCCGCAAACTCCTGTTGAACGGCCTCAAAATAATATGCCAGCAAATTTACCAGAGGATACTCCTGGTAATCAGTCTGTAGAGCAGCAACCACAGGATACTGAAAATGCTTTGAATAGACAAGAAGAAGATTGTGACATCTATTGTGACATTGAAACAAAGTCTGATGGAGAACTTCAAGACCAACAAAATAGCTCAGTGGCACTCTTACCACCTCCAGAACCACCATCAGGTCTCTTAGATTTTGAAGAAAACTCTAGAAGTGATAAAGATAGTGATCAGGAGTTGGTTATTGATGACAGCCATAAAGAAGATACTCCAAAAAATGACAAGTATGATCCCTTTTCTGTGGATAGTGATAGCGATAGTGAAGGGAAAAAGAATGATGAGGTTGAAGAACAAAAAAAAGAAGAGACAATGGAAAACGTCACACAACCAACTGAACCTCAGGATACATCAATTCGTTTGTCAGCTTACGATGATGAAGATGAAGAGGATTCTCAAGCAGATTGTCCCAATTTCTCCATTTATTCCTCGCAAACAATGGATGTTGCCCGACATACCGAGCAACAATTATCGCAACAAATAGGACCACTTGAGCCACCTCCTCTTCCACCTTCAATACCAGATGATGATGATGTTATTGTTGGTGATGTTCAAGCTTGCGATCTTGCCGATATTCCAGAGCCATCAGATCCGTATGTGGAAGCATTGAGGAAAGAAAGACAAACATTAAGCAAAATTCCTCCAAAGAAAATTTCCCACGACAGTAGGGGTAAAATTACTTTCAAGATTGGAACCAAATTAAAGATTAATAACAGATTATTAGGGTTGCAAGAGGAAGAAAAAGAAATTGAAGAAGAAAAGAAAAAGGAGAATGAGGTAAGCGATTTGTTAATTGAATTTATTTAATAATGTGCCTATAATATGTGATATTGTTATATGAATTTTTTAGCCAATAAAGGAAGAAGAAGCCTCTATTGACCGTGAAGAAGAAAGAAAGAAAATTGCGAAGAGTAAATTTGAAGAAAGTCAACCAAAAGAAGAAGAGGAGAATGAGGAGGAAGAAGAAGAGGAGCCAGCAGACACATCTATTTTTGTTGCTACTTCAAATCTAAAAGAAAGAAGTGGAGACGAAGTGTCAAAAGAAGAGGAATCGGTAGCAGTTTCTGGAAGTGTCTTAACAGAAAAAATACCAAGTGTAGATGTACCAACAGAGTCCACTCAGTTATCTCCTAAAAAAGTGGAAAGTGAATTAAGCAATGAATGTCCTTCAGAACTAGTATCGGAGGAAGGTAGTCAGTCTCCTACTTCACTTCCTAAAACTTCAAATGCCGATATTAACGAAGAAATTCGGAAAGAGCCCATAGATATTGAAGAATGTACTACTGATGTAAAAGTTAAAGATGCTGAAGATGCAGAAAGTGAAAAGGATGAGAGAGAACCACGCCATTTTGATGTTGAGGAAGAAGAAGAAGAGGAAGAGGAGGAAGAAGATGAGGAAGAGGAAGAAGAAGAGGATGATGAAAATAAAAAAGAAAGATTTCCTATTGAGAAAGAGAAATCGAACAAGAAAACAGTAGTTGAAGAAGCTATTGAACAAAACAAAGATTGGGAATCAGATGGGGCTTATACTCCTTGTAAAGATGAACTTCCTTTGAAGGAATCTAAGTCTTCAGAGCACTTGCCACCGATTGAAAGTGGCTTGGAACCAATCACGCCAACAAAAGATAAACCAGACGACTTGGATAGCTGCAGGACTCCAGTAGATTATAATGTCTTGGGCACTGAAGCTATTTCAGAAACAGATGAAGCAATGAATTTTGAAGATGAATTAACATTATTGAGTTTACGAAAGGAAAAGGAGATGGAAGATGGCGAAATTGTTGAAGAAAAGACTGCCAAGGAAGGTGAGAAGGTAGAAAAGGAGAAAGAAGAGGAAAAGAAACGTAAGAAAAAGGAGAAGAAAGAGAAAAATAAAGAAACTGAGAAGAATAAAGAAAATATCGCTTCAGAGAATCAAGTAGCATGGAAAAAGCTTTCAAAAAGCACAAAGGAGAGATCGTACAGAGACAAGGAGAAAAGGTCGAAGTCAAAAGAAAAAGAGAAACCCAAGAAGAAGAAAGAAGTGGTAAAAAAGAAAGAGAAAAGAAAAGAATTACCTAGATACGACGTTAGGAAAATAGTCGCAGAGAGACCTTCAAGACCTAGGAAGGATGAATATGGGCGGGACATAAGAGAAAAATCAAGACAGAGGAGCAGATCCAGAAGTCTCAGCTCAAAGCGTTCACGATCGTATTCGAAGCTGCGATCGAGAAGCAGATCTAGAACTAGAATTCAAAGATCCTGGTCTAGAGATCGTAGATCTTATTCAAAATCACTTTCCAGGAGAAGATCTCTCTCTAGAGGAAGACGTAAATCTTCAAAAAGAAGATCAACTTCGAGAAGAAGATCTTCGTCCAGAAAAAGATCACTCTCTAGAAGAAGATCAAGATCTATTTCTCGCAAACGGAGATCTTTGTCAAGAAGACGATCTAGGAGATCAATTTCAAGGTCTAGAAGATCTTTATCAAGATCTCGACAGAGGAGATCTCTTTCCAGATCCAGAAGGTCCTTATCTAGATCTCGAGATAGGCGTAAGGATAAGAAAAAGTACAAATCTCGTAGCCGATCAAAAAACCGAAAGAGATCTCGATCAAAATCACCTCGGAAATCTTCAAAATCTAGAGAAAGGAAGCTTCCAAAAAGAAAAGCACAAAGCAGATCAAGGTCCAGAGGAAGATCCTGTTCAAGAAATTGGGATCAAGTAGACAAAATTGTCGAACAAGATTTTTCAAGAGAAAGAGAGGAAAGAGATTCGTGGAGTGCTCAGTGGACACCATCTTGGTCTAGATCTAGGTCGAAAACGCCTCAACATGTGCAACAAGAACCAATTGCTTCTAGGGAATGGTCTCCGGTACTAGATAATGTCAATGTTCCACCAAAAAATCTGACTGTAATTCTAACAAATAAGGAAGCTATTAAAAAGAAGAAGAAAGATCGCAGGAAAGAGAACAAAAAAGCAAAAGACGAGAAAAAGAGAAAAGGAAAGAGAAATAGAACCCCACCACCTTCAAAAGAGGTTTTTGCAAGCGGTGATAATATCTTAGTCAGTGTGTGTTTTAACAAAGACAATGAGAATATACAAACTGGAGTCCCAGAACTACCAGAAACAATTCCATTGATACCTCCTTTAAAAAGACGCCGCAGAGAACCTCTTCAAGCTGATCCCCCTAAACGCTCAAAGAAAGAAAAATCAAAAGACAAACGTTCCAAATCACCAAAACCCAAGAAAGATAAAAAGAAAAAGTCTAAAGCTGCTGAAATAGCAGCCACAAAAAAACCAGTTGCAGTAATCGATTTGGATCAATCACCATTCAGAGAACAGACTCCATCTCCAAGAGATGTAATAGTCCTCAGTGATGATGACGATAAACAGGAGCAACAAATAACTCCTGATCAGTGTCAACCATCACAAAACTCTCCACAGCGAGAACAGTTTGTTTCTCAAGGACCGAAAACTCCTCCAGAACCTCAAATAAAATTCTCAATAAACAAACAAACTAGTAACTTGCGCCCATCAATGTTAAATCCACTTTTAGATGAAGAAGAGGAGGAAGAAATGGATGAGAGAGTCGAAGAAGAATTAGAGATGAGAGCACAAGAAGAATTAGAATTGAGATTAAAAATTGGCCCAAATACTCCTCCAGAGCCTCCAACATCTCCTCCAACCAGCCCAGATGCTTACGATCCATTCGATCCAACAAAATCTAGATCTCCAACACCTGATGTCAGCCAAGAAGCTAATTCTAGTGATGAAAGAAGAAGATCTCCAAGAAAGCATGATTCTGTGGATGGAAATATTCATGAGGAGGAGAATATGCAGAAACAAGAAAGGCAGAGCCAAGAAAAACAATTGGAGAAGCCTAAAATTATTTCTATGGTAACAATTAAAAGAGCTTCACCGCAAAGAGATGATGCTAATGAGAATGAAAATAATAAAGATACTGCAGTTTCGGCAGGAAATTTGGAAGGACAGCAAAGTCAGCAGAGTGTACAAAATCAGAATAATCCTTTCAGTGTAATGAATCCTGTACTTGCTACAGTGGCTGCAGCAGTTCAAAGAAGTGGGGTATTCAATTCTTCAAATGCAAACAGTAATCAACGTAACTTATTACAATCAAATCGAATTTCACCAAGTAATCAGCAGAAACAACGTTCTGGAGATCGTTCTCAGGCACCCACAGTCTTCACGAATTCAGGAAAACCAAGGAATTCTAAGTCTGGGCAGACGAAGAATAATGGACAAAATGGGAATGATACTGGTGCAGAACCTACTGATAATGTAGATATGTCTTCACCATATTCACCTGGATCGACGCTCAGTGATGGAATTTTTGATCCACCAAGCCCTGGAAATTTCAATAGTTCACCTGGAGCTGGTGCAGGAACTGCTGGAGGAACCGTTGGATCACAACCCACAAAAAATAGCAACTCGAAGGCAGCGAAAAGTGCAGAGAAAAAGGATACATTCGATGCGCTTTTTGGATCTGTACCGACGACAAAGACTGCTAGCAAACCCGCCAGGAGCAAAAAAACTGACAAGGATAAAAAGAAAAAACCGACAAATCCAAAGGTTGGTGTACGCATGGATGAGAATCAGCTTCAGATATTGGATGATCTTCCAAGTTCTGCAGTCGAGATGCAGGTCAAGGATAAGGTTTGATTTTTGTTGCAACTATAGTTTCAGTACATTAAAAAAGTTTGGTCACATTTAAGAAACTATAAATGTCTAAATATTTTACAATGGCAAATATGTAGATTTTATTTAAACAATTTCAATTTTCTTATCAATTTAGTCTTCATAATTGAAATATACAAAATAATTTGTTTCTTGAAATTTCAATCATTGTGATTACTTTATGATTAATTAGTATTATGTTTTAGTTCCTAAAGAAACTAAATCGTCAAGAACGAGTGGTAGAAGAAGTAAAATTAGTGCTAAAACCGCACTACACAAAGAAACATGTTACAAAAGAAGAGTACAAGGATATTATGCGTAAAGCCGTACCCAAAGTAAATACTTAACGTTAAATAAAGACGTTCTATATTTATTTCTTTAATGCTTACTCTATATTCTTTTACTAGATATGTCACAACAAGACGGGAGAAATCAATCCGAAAAAGATTGCCCATTTAATAGAAGCTTATGTTAGGAAGTGCAGAAACAGTAAGAAGAAGACCACTGAGAGTTCCTCTACAAAGGCCTCTAAACCTGCGTAAGTATTTCATAATTTAATTCTTCTAAAACTGTACTTTCTCTCTCTCTCTCTCTCTCTCTCTCTCTCTCTCTCTCTCTCTCTCTCTCTCTCCAGAACAAGATGCTTCAATATCTGTATAAATATGATTTATATATCTATATATTTTATATATTATAAAAGGGAATCTTATATTAAAAATTATATTATTTGTCCATATTATTATATTAAGTAAACAGTAATTAAACGAAACTAATATCTAAGTATAAAAAAATTAAAAACGAGTTAACATTTGCAATATGTTAAGTTAGATTACTTCTTTCAATTTTACTTTTGAAACTTATAGTAAATAAAAATAGAAATGATTTTAAATTTAAATAAAAAATATTATGATTTATTTGTTTTAGGAAAATTTTATGGAGTTGATCATGAGTCAGCTAGGTGTCTGTTCAATTCTCTTCAATTTCGTAGTTCAGACGATCGTCGTGCTCGATGAGTGGTGAGTGAGCTTCGAGACAGCTAGTCTCCTCCTCGATGATGCGATGTATCTTGTATTCTCTGTAAATACGTAATTAATTCATTTATTGGTCGATTGTTTGCTTGCTTGCTTGGTTGATTGATTGATTGATTGATTGATTGATCGATTAACTTGTAAGAGTACCATTTATTATTTATATAAACAATATCCTTTGTCTTGTCAGGGAATCCAACTGTCTCTACGGAAGAACCATCGATAATAGATCTTGTTTATTCATTTTCTGCAATTGTAAAGAATTTAAATATGCTTGGAGACTAGAAAATTATAAAAATCTTAAGAATACATTCATTTAAAAATTGGATATTTCCGATGCTATATAGATTG